GGACAGGGCAAGATATGACAAAATACCCATTTATAAACTATCGAGGGCTTATGAGGGAGTGGGGAGAGGGGAGGGAGGGGAAAAATGAGGACCTAATATTGGGGGTTTAAGTGGAGAGAAAATGTTTTGAGAAACAATGTACAAATGCACTTTACATAATTGATGTGTGTATGGATTGGGATAACAGTTGTATGAGCCCCTAATAAAATGTTTAAAAAATAAAATAAAATAAAATAAAAATATAGAAAATTATTAGCATTCTGGTTTTGTTTCTCAAGAGAACCCTGTCTAACACAGGGTGTTTCCAGAGGCTCCCACCATGACTAGGCCTACTTGCCCCACCTCTAACCTGTGGATAGGTCTTTCCTACCTCAAGAAATGGTAAGTTCTAAAGGCTTGAATATAAACAAGCGGCCATCTATCTGAGAAGCAACAAAGCCCACATGGAAGAAGCACACCAGCCTGTGTGATCATGAGGTGTCAATGGGGTCAGATATCAGGCATCTAAGACCCAGAACAAAATCATACCCAAGGTGAATGAGGGCGGGGCATCTGTAGACAATTGGACATCCCCTCACAGAGGGGTCACAGGGAAGAAATGAACCAGTCAGGGTGCAGTATAGCACCAATGAAACACACAACTTTCCTCTAGTTCTTTGGTGTTTCCTTCCCCCCCACTATCATGATCTCAACTCTACCTTACAAATCGGATTAGACCAGAGCATGCACACTGCTACAGATAAGAGTCCGCAACACAGGGAATCCAGGATACATAAATCCCCTCAAGGCCAACAATGAGAATAGAGATACCAGGAGGCTAAGGGGAAGATGGGAGGAAAACGAAGGTACTGATCACAAGGATCAACATGCAACTCCCTCCCAGGGAGATAAACAACAGAAAAGTGGGTGAAGGGTGACAGAGGATGATGTAAGATATGAAAATAACAAACTATCACTTATCAAGGGTTCATGGGGGAGAGGGGAAATGAGGAGCTGATATCAGGGGCTCAAGTAGAAAGAAAATGCTTTGAAAATGATGATGGCAGCATATGTACACATGTGCTTGACACAATGGATGAATGCGTGGACTGTGAGAAGAGACGTAAGAGTCCCCAATAAAAGTATTTTTTTTAAAAAGAAGAAGAAAGAAATGGTAAGTTCATCTTTCTGTTGGCTCAGTCCCAAAGTCTTGGGGTCTCCCGGGGTTCTTACTTTCTCTCTTATTCCACTTCCTACCTGGCCAGCCAGCACAGAGCCCCTTGGCCCTACCTGCAGATGATATCTACCGTCGGCCTGCTGCCCATCACCCCCACCCACAGCCTGCTGGTCCAGACCACCACGGTCTCATGCCCCTGGGTTCTTACAGTGGCTACTCGGCAGGTCTCCTCTCCCGACACAGCTCATACACAGTACAGAAGCCACCCGTGGGCCTCTGGTCCACGCCAGCTCATGGTCACCCCACGGAGTAGAGTAGATCCGCCCTGTTGGGGTTTCTGGCCTGTCTTCTTTACAGCCGCACTTTGCCACGCCTGGCTCCTGCAGCACCACTGGGTGGGTTTGAACCGCCCGCCCCCAGCTTAGGGTACATTATTTGTGGGACCCGGCCCCTTTACACCTAACGTTGTTCTTAGATGCCGAGGCATCCACTGGGACTCCTAATGACCCTACGCTTCACAGGACACCGTGCTGCCCGGTTCGTCCTGCGCCATCCTCACAAGTGTGGCCATGTTGAAGCCTGTTGTGGCAACCACTGTGTCCATCCAACGACACAAAATGGAAATCCTAAAAGCACTGTGGGAAGAATTAATTAGGTGGTAGATGTGGCGCTCCCACCATCTGGGGCTCACTGCCCCGACTCCTCTCTGCGCAGAGCCTTTTCGCGGTTGGCGAGGCTATGGTCCAACTTCCTGGTGGAGAAGCAGCCCTCCACCGGGAGCAGAGCACGGAGCTCCTCACCTGCTTCCAAGGTGCCCTTCCTTGATTGACAGGCCTCCTCACTGCTCCGCTCACTCGCTCACCCACCGCCACCGAACTGGTATTCCCAGGGGTTGCCTCCCACAGAAACTGCTGGCCCTGCACTCCTTTCTCAGAGTCTGCCTTGGGGAGACCCGCAATAAGGCGGTGCAATCACTAGGTGGTGCCCACAGTTCCTGCTCCCAGCTGCTAAATGTTGAAGGTTTGAGTCCACCCAGAGGCACCTCAGAAGAAAGGCCTGGCGATCGACGTCAGAAAAAAAATCAGCCTCTGAAACGTGCACAGCTCTGCTCTGGCACGTGTGGGTCCCCAGAAGTCAAGGTGACTGTTTTTTGTTTGTTTTGTTTTAAAAAATAAAACCTTAAGCAACTAGCAGCCACCAAAGGTTAGTGGGCAGGGAGGGTGATGATGTGCTCTAATCTCTATTGCGTTTTCTTGGCCAGGTGACATCCCTGCAGAGGCCAGTGTGGGGGTGAGGAGCTCCCTGAGGAGGTCCATCTTTTTCCCACGAAACAGCTGGTGACTTCAGACTGGTGACCTTGGCGGCCTAACTCACACCATATGATGACACCGGGGCTCCTCCCACTCTGTACAGGAAGCAGGAAAGGGATGCGACCCTCGCTCATTCAAGGGAGGTTACTTGCCTGTTAAATCTCCTGAGACTAGATCTTCGGGACTCGGAGTAGAGAGAGGAAAACTGGGAATTCCTGTTAAAAAGAATGGGTGAAAAGAAGACAGAAAACGATCAATGAGACCGTGTTGTAAATCCCCTTAGCGAGGCAGAAGCCCTCTAAGCCAGTGAAAGGTCGCAGTCAGAGGCCACTTTAAAGAAAGGCACATTGGTCTACTGCACGTGTGTCTGGTGTTTACACGCAGATGAGTAACTGCACATGCATGTTTTGTGTTCACAGCAGCTGCGTCCCACCAGCAGTCCAGTCCTTCCCTCAAGGAAAGAAACGACTCCCTGCCAGCCGGTCAAAGCCGTCTCCTGGGACCCTATAGGACAGGGTGGAGTTTCCCAGACTTAGGTGGAACACATGACCTGTTTTCCACCTCACTCCGGTCTTGGCTTCATGAACACTTATTTATCTTTCAATATAAAATCAAGAACAGCTTTTCCAAAACCCTTTCTCTCAAGTGTCTTCCCTGAAACTTTGCTTGTGCCATAAAGTCCCTTCAAGTTTCTTTCCTTCTTTATTTTTTCTCACTAAAAAAGGTGAATCCACTTTTAACTCCGTAGTTGATTAGATCGCCATGAAGTGTCGTGTTATTTAGGCTTAAAGCGTTGCTTCCTGCAGAGCCGATTCTAAATAACAGCAACCTTTATAGGGGTTCGGAGACTGGATCTTTGCAGGAACAGGTAGCATCATCTGTCTCCCACAGAGCAGTTGGTTGGTGGGTTTGAACCACTGACCTTGTGATTAAGCAGTTCAACACTTCCCTGACAGTTCCCCAAGAGCTCCTGTTAAAGATGGTCATTCATTCCTCACTCCAACAGGATGCTTTCACAAGTGAAGGTGAGTACCCCTAATAATTACTCTAATGACCTCGCTGGGACAGCATGTATGACTTGGAGCACAGTCATTCCACTCACAAGAGTCCTCCCCCCACAGTCCCACCACTCGTCCTAACAGACGATCCCAAGGGCTGGCCTGCAGGAGTTGTGAGGGTGAGGATCGCAGCTGCCAAGGGTGGATTTGGGAGAGGGGATGAAGTCAGTGTTTCTTTGTGCTGACATTAATGTGCAACCTGTTTTTACACTGTTGCAAAACAAGCAGAACCCAGACTCAGGCATCATTATTTGCCTAAGGAATCCCATGTGCTCTGTTGCTTCATGTAGGCAGGTGGCCCTGGGTGCTGACCCCCGAACTGAAAGGTTGATCACTGCAACCCACCCAGCGGTGCCTCAGAAGAAAGACCTGTCAACCTGCTTCTGAAAGGCGGCACCAATCTGAACATCTTAGGCGCGCAGCTGTACTCAGCCACCCAGGGGTTGCCATGAGTCAGAATGCGCTGGATGGCTGCTGGTTTGCTTTGGTTTGTTTTCCTGCTTCATGCTGCACAGTGCTTCTGGCGAATGAGGCCCCTTTCTTCTCTGCCACGTGGGGGTGTTCACTTTGATCATCACAGTGGGTCAGGAGCAAGCTCATGATAACGTGTCCCACTGTGCAGGGGGGAAGAAGAAACGAACCCACCTGCCCCCCCCAGAAATACCACACATGATCGGCAGGCAAACCCAAGCTTGGGAAAAGCCCATAACAGCTCTCCTTCCTAGGAGACGAAATAGCCCATGCATAGGTTTCTATTCAATTGCAACGGCCACCATTCCATCCTTCTGACCTCCCGAGATCCAGTTTCCATTGTCTAACCAAATTGTTGACGAACTCAAAACTATGCTGTCGTAACTCATGGCCATCACGTCAACTGTAAATCTCGGGTCCCCTGTGTCAGAAGAGAGCTACTCTGAGTGTTCAGACTTCTCAGGACAGCTCACCAGGCTTACCTCTGGGTGCGTTCAAGCTGCCAGGCTTTGGTTAGTAGTTTTCACTACCCAGGGATTCCAAATAAACTCTTGTAAACACTTGTGCATAATACAACGGCCTCATTTATACCTGATCTCGTTTCTGCCTCCTGCACCCCAACCTGCCTTTCATGTCCTCCAACCTCAATGCACAAAACCCAGCTATGGAGAGAAAAGGGAGGCCCCTTGTTCCTCGTGCATACTTACTTAAGCAAAATGGGAAATCATAGTATCCGACCGCACACTCCTCACAGTTGTCTCCACTGAAGTTGGGCTTGCAATGACAGCGGCCGGAGCTCTGCTCACAGCCGTCCGCGTGCTCGGGGTTGCAGCTGCAAGCTGTGGGAAGTCCAACAGGTCCACCCTTCAGCGCACGTAATAAGGCAAACAATGGGCCTACTCTCCCACCCAGGCAAGGTTTAGTACTTATCCCAGCTCAAGAGTTATTCTTGAAGGGACTCTTTGCCACCACACTCCTGATGGATGGTCCTGGCGGACTGAAGCCTAGGGGGCTTCAGGCAGGAGAGTCCATGGGCATCTGCCCTGGGGCGGTCTAGAGAAGGTAACTCAGTGCACCGAGCCTGGCTCCCTGAGGAGAAGGCGAGTCTGCATAAAATAAAGCCAGAGTCCCACGCTGGGATGGTGGAGAGGTCTTGGTGGCTTTGTAGGCATAGCCCCGCCAGGCCTTGGACTAGCTGTGAATGTCCACATGTGATTGTCAGTATGCAGGTGTGATGTGACCACACATGTGGGGTCCCTCAACATTGATATGTGACCTATAGTCAGCATAGCAAGATTGTACCCTTCATCCAAATGTGAGCTCCAAGGGACATGGCTTACTGGAGAATGTTATTGCAGCCAAACAAGATTATTAGGCTTGGGTTTCAGTAGACCAGCTGGGGCATAGAAGGCTTGGTTTCTCTTGACTGGGCAAGTTCTCACCCTGGACTGGGAACAGGGCCATCGCTCCTCAGAGGACATGCCCCGGGGAACTGGGAGGCTGGTAAGCATCCAACATCACCCTGAATGGCATCTCCTGGCATCCATTGCTACATGTATTTAGATGTCTGTGTCCTGAGGTTGTTGGGATTTTTCCTCATTTGTTTGTTTTGCTAAGCCTGTGGCATCTCTACGGACCCATTAGCGTGAAGAAGAAAGAAACTTGGAAAATGATGCAAGAGTCGGTTCCGAGCAAGGCACATTGACAACATCCGGTTTCCTTCGCCAGGGTCTAGTCTTTGCGGATGCAAGGAGAGCGATGGGCAGAGTCCTTGGATGATGTGGAAGAGGGAAGTCACTTTGGAACAATTATGACTGCCCTCCAGAGAGACAAGTGCATGTGTGGATGTCCTCACCAGTTAGAGGTGCCGTGGATGGTTCTGACAGGAGACCCTAGGCACCAAGGCCAAGTTACGTCGAGAATTATTTTCCATCTGTGGCAACCAGAGAACCTAAAAGAGCCAAGTATTGAGTATGCGATGGGTTACACAGGGGCCATCGCCTGACCTGTACTGACCTCTACACGGCAGAGGACGGTGGCATTGTTCTGGACAATGGACGTGGGACGGCACAGTGACAACAGACAGCAATCAGAACCCCCTGGGCCCACCAGTCAGTTGTTCTGGAACTTGGGGGGAATGTTCCCGGCTCAGACCCTTTCACTGGCTTCCTCAGATCCGAAGTTTGTGGCGATAATTAAATAAGACATGTGTGAGAGTACTTTGCACCTTGCATACAGTTCAATTATGAGTATGATTAAGTCCTTGTGAGATCCTTGCGATGTCGTCTTGATGCAAATTCTGGCAAACTATGAAACCACCGGTGACCACAGCAAGAACGTCCAAACATCAGAAGAAGGAAGAAGGAACATTTGTGGTGGGCCTCGAGGTGCTAGTGATGGTATTTCCTGTGATCTTAAGAAATGTGTGATCACTTCCTTTTTGTTGTTGATGTTGTTGTTAAGAATAGGCACGGCTAAACACACACTAATCCAAACACAACCGTCTCTGCACGTGCATGCCGGGATGCTGATGCCTGTCTTCAAGCTGTGCAACCATTCCCCGTGACTCCTCCCTAAGAACAGACACTCACTGCCCCTAAGGCTCCGATCTGATTTTTCAGGCTGTTGTTGTCGATTTGATTTCATATTGAAAATTCTTTACAGGATATAGTGTGCCAGGTAGACATTTAAAAAAATACTAGTCAAGCTAAACTGTTGTTTGGTTTAAATCCTTTCAAGACCAAATTATTTTCAGCTTTGAATTTTTTAAAAATGAATTTTGGTTTTCAGTAATGAAAACATTTCATTTAAAATGAAATGAAAAACAGTTTTTGGTAGGTTATATGGATTTTAAGACAAGTTGTGGGACACACATGTCCTGAGGGGTCTTTAGGGCTGGGATTGGTAGGACATGGCCCATGTCCTCTGATTCGTGCAGTTATACATCCTCTAGATGGCAGCATGCATTGAAAGTGGAATAGCAGCTTCTTCTGAGACCTCAGAAGTGGAAACTCTAAGTGGCCACTTTATGATCCATGGGTCATGAAAGAGTAAAGAAGAGTTCAGGGAATGTTTTTGGTTTAAGGTTTAAAGTAGTGTATCTCAAAGTGGGTGTTACTGCACCACCACTACTACCCCAGGGTGCTGTAATTATCCAAAGTAATGCAAAGTAGCAGATACCTACACATTAATCCTAGTACAACCGTTTTTAAAGGCACTGAGAAATTTGGGGGGTTTGGTTTGGTTTTGTGAAGAGGGACTGGTAGGCCAAATAATTTGGGGAACCTATGGTCTAAAACAATATCTCAGGATCATCACTTCAATGTACATATAAGAAATCTGAGCTCTGGAGAAATGATGTAACTTCCTGAGCACCCCGGAGCAATAGTGTTAAGAGACGTGAAGGGCATTACCATCCATTCAGAATAGACCCTGATGATCCCCCTCGCCTCCACCCCGCAGAAGCAGGGATCACTGTTTCGGATACGACACGCTGAAACGAGACTTACGGATGCAGCCATGGGGAGCGTCAACCGGAACCCCTTCAGGGCGGTAATGACCCTTAGCACACTTTTCACAGTTCACACCAGCTGTGTCATGCTAGGAAGAAACAAACAAACAAAAACATGGGAGAAGGATACAGAAGAAGTCCTTATCCTGTGCACGCTGTTGTCCTACATAACGTCACTAAAAAAAGATCCAAGATTACCACAAGACACCAGCTAATTCTTTTCCCATTGGGGTAGGAAATGGGGGAAACGTCCCGGATCTAGGAAACCCAGGCTCTCCCCTCCACCACAGGATTTGCTGACTGCAGTATGAGCTATTGAATGAGAAACAAAAAACAAAACAAAAAATACTCGTGTATTCAGAACGGAGGAATGGATGGTAAGTCACATTTGCGCTTAAGTCAAGGAATAAAGGGTCATGTGTGCACTGATATGGTCTCCACAATGGGAAGAAATCGCATGTCCACATCCTCGTCTCTTGTTCTAATTTTATGCCTTATCCATGAACTCATTTTCCAAAGATTTCTATCACACGAATGGAAAAGTAGGCATGCGTCTCATACACAGAGCTCATTTTAAAGTATAATACTAGGCAGCCCTTTATATTTCATAGCTAAGACTTGTAATTGCCTCAAAATCAAATTACCCAACATGCACCATTAGTTTCCAAGAACTATACACCATGAATTTAGCTCAATCCTGGCTCTTTCTCTCAATTTAGAAATAGCCAGGGGAGCAGTGTTCTTTCATTAATGGAAGGAAAGGCGATGGGAAGTTAAAAGAACACATATAATCCACTCAGACCCACACAAGAGTCTGCTTAGAGAGACAGAGGGGAGAACAAAGGCCCATTCTGTCTCCCCTCCTCATTTACAGATGCTTTTATTAACTACAGGCCTTTATTATTACCACTCCTTGTCCTGTGGGCTAAAATCTGAGTCCACTTTAACATTGAGGTCTAAAACCGCATGAGCCAATTCTCTGTCTTCACATTTACATGCATAAACTTGATGGGCAAATAAGAAACATCTGTAGTGCCCCTCCAGCCCCATCAAATGCCAATGAACCCCTCCTTGGTGCTGTTTGCCACTGAGACATATAACAGGGAGAGGGCATCAACTTCACATGGGCTAGAGATTCTTCCCCCCTGGACAGGAAGTGAGGGAAAATCCTCTACAGTGGGCAGCCCAGGCCATTGCTATACCACAACATTTGCTTATGGAGCACCTGCCATCTGAGTGGGAAACACACACACACACACAAGAGCTGTTTTCACAGAGTAGTCATATGTGTAAGATACGGATGAGGAATCGCTGAGAGAGCAGCAATACTCTTCAGATGGAATACCGTCTGCCCTTGGCCTTCTAACGCCTGGTGATTCTCTGGGCTCAGCACCGTAATTTAAGCACCTCTGCATCACAGGGCCCATGGGCCCGAGGGGCATGATGGACCGCGCCCAGGTCAAGGCCCAAGGATGGCGGTGGTGTCAGAATTTCGATACTGGAGACACTAGGGAAGCAATCATGTTAGGAGGAGGGAGGGTTTGAAGTCCCAGTGGCATGACTTTACATAAGAAGAAAACCCCCATTATCCAGGAGTTGGGGGGTGTTGATGGAATCCACACAGGAGGAAAGCTCAGCCCATACTTGGCTTTTCCTTTTGCACTTGGCCTCATTCACACTTCCTAGGAATGGCTCAGCTAGGAATCCCAGACCCTGCTCTGCTGATTCTGAGGTCAGAATTCCTCGAAGCAGATTTATTATTATTTGTATTATGATTAATCACTTTATCGGGGCGGGCTCCTCCAAATCCAGCAGAATTTTCGGATGTCTATTTCCATCTTCAAGGCATGCCTGTTGGTGGCTCTTGCACACGTACTCAGCGGCACGTTCTTTTCCCTTTTCCTTCTCTCCCTGCTCCCTTCCGCCTGCTTCACCTCAACTCCTTGACCACACCTGCAGGACCACTGCAGGCTTCCCTTCTCACTCGGGAACTGCAAGCAGGAAGCACATGCAAGGTGGGCTGGGTCTTAATTCTCACCGGCAGGAGAAGAGAACATTTGGCGTGTGTCTTGTCCTTTAGGAAGGAGCCTGGGCGGCGCCGTGGGTTAAGTGCTGGACCACTAGCTGCAAGGCCGGTGGTCCAAACCCACCAGTGAGAGAGGAGGAAGGTGTCTGCTCCTGCCGAGAGGCGCAGCCTCGGAAACCCCCTGGAGCGCTTCACCGCTGCTCTGTAGGCTTGCTTTGAGTCAAAAGCAACTCTCTGACCATGTGTTTAGGTTTGGGTTTGTCCTTTAGGTGGAGAAACTTGGGACAGGAAGGTGTAAAGCAGTTGCTCTACGTGTCCCCAAGTCCTGGTCTAGTGACAGACGGGTAATAGACACTGCAGAATGATGTGCTGAGTGCACAAGATGACCTTATCCAGGGACCCACCCATGCTGGTGGCCTGAAGAGGAGACCCTCAGGAGGCCCTCTAGGGTGCATCCTTCCTGAATGTGTGGGTGATTGGACAGCTCTTCCTTGCCTCCCCTTAGGAGCTCTTTGAAACCACCTCTGTTCCAACTCCTGCCCAAGAAGGGTGTTTGGCATCCCCTCTTAGCGGAACTCTGCCACTTGCAACATTTGCACCATGGTGCCTGCCTGACGTGTTCAGGGTTTGGGGGACGGTATCAGGGTGCGCTCTACCGCTCCTTCTGAACGTGTCGTGCAGGGCTGGGACACTGGGTCTGCCCAGCAGCCCGCAGTGGAAAATAACAATGGAGACTCTTCTGCTCACCTGATCCCCAACCGTTTGAGCGACTTGCACAGGTCTTGGGATACAAACCCGCACCTTTTGCTGTCTTGAGGAACAGAAACTCTAAACTTTTAGAGTTTTAGGATCTTGCATTGTAAGGAGGTAGGAAGAGAGCTAGAGACAAAGCTCTAAGTAAAGTGGCAGCTACCTACATAATTTGGTAAAATTGTTCCAGATGTAAAATGTAATGTACATCATAATATCATTCTCATGGTCAACAACTCAATTGGCCTTGACTTGGGTGTGTTTTGTTGCTTTTGTCGTTGGGACTCGTCCTGATAGTAAATCAAAGCCAGGTTCCATACTTTTCCATTACCTTCTTGATAACATTTTTTGGTTCATTCACTATGAATGCATCGTTGGCAAATAGCCATGACAACCAAACTTGGTGCTACAGCTGTGGAAATCTTAGTGCTGTGGTCCTGATTGGCTGGGTCAGGATTTTCCCCTTTTTCTTTCTTTAAACATTTTATGGGGGCTTGTACAGCTATTATCACAATCCATCCACTTATCCATTGTGAAGAATTTTTCTTAATACAGTCTGATGCGCAGCATGGATTATTTTTATCAATCTATAGACATAATGCTATCTTTTATGGATAATCAGATGTGTTCATATCCAACACTACAGTAACTGAATTCATTTTGTCAAAGTGAATTGAAACCTTATGGTCAAAAAAAAGTGAAGAACAAAAAATTCTTCCATACACAAAAGGGCCTTTTGAAAATTCCAGAAAGTCGGTGAGACAAATTTGTGTGATAAATGATTCATCTTTTCTAAACTATGCAATTTTTCTATTAGAGCTTTATAATCTGTCAACCTTCATTAAAAAATCTTGTTGGAATTCCAGTTTTGATCACATGGAATTTAGAGATCCCTTCCAAATTTGGTTTATTTATATCACTAAGTCTGGGAACACATTATCCTTCTCCATGTCTTCTTTTGTAAACGTCAATAGTTTTCCAGATTTGAATGCACCTTCTCCCCCAATTAATTCCTGCTACCTGTTGCCTGTTGGAGTATCTTCAAATGACACCAACACTCATAGCTGGCCTTCCCTAATGCTGTGTTTCTGACCCCTGTCTTTCTCAATCTTGCAATTCCTGGTCTAGTGATTACAATCTTTCTCATCTTTCATGCTATTACGGATTCTGGAGGCAGGAAGCACTTTCCTGCTCATGTGTCTTTTCTGCCATGTCGTGAGGTTTGTTGTGGGTGAGAATATTGCCATATATACTTGGTCTGATCCTTGCTTGCACATATCTTCTTGCGGTGTGTGTGTGTGGTCTACGTGCGTGTAAAAGAGAAACGGTTTGGAAGTAGTGAGACCGATGCATTAAAGAAACACAAAGCATAAGATTCACATCAGAAGCCAGTCTCTAGGAAAGAAACTAAAATGTTTATTTGAGTTCGTGGAGATAAAGTATCTCCAATCATCATCTCAGACAGCAGGGGCCATCGTTGACCTGCATTGAGAACATCAACGTTTCCCTGAGGGAAAGTGTGCAAGCTGTCAATCCCAAATGTCCTGCTCCTTGTCTTATTATTTCATTGTTCTTTTCCCCCAAGGTCGGAGCGTGACATGTGGAGATGTTGCAGTGAGCATCCATCTTCCCACCGTGGAACGCTTATTATCAGCGTTGTACTCCGCTTGCTTTTGTGCCATACTTCGTTAGCTATGTATTATGCATCTGTACGTTTATTACATCATTATTTATCTGAATAGCCCTGGGTGTTCAGGAGCGATATTGTGCCAATAAGTCCCCCTTTTTGTAACCCCAGTCGGGCGTTGGAACCAAGGATGCGCTGCCTCATCAAACGAATGGGAAGATTCTCTACCTACCCCTCTGAAAGAATTTGTGTAAGCTTGGTGTTGTTTCTTCCTTAATTATTAATAGAGTTCATCAGCGAAACCACCTGGGCCTGGCATTGTCTTTGTAGGAAGGTTTGGATCGTGGATTCTATTTCTTCCATAGCCACAGAGCTATTCAGTTGTTCTGCTTAAACATATAACACTTTTAGTAAGCGATAGCTTTTAAGAAGTGTGTCCATTAATCTGATGCAGGTGGTCAGTGTTGAGGTGACAGACTCCGCTTTATTTGATGAGCGTAATCAGTGGTAACTTCTCTCTTTCTTGGTCGGTGCGGATGGGGGCTTCGCATTGGGTTGGCTTTTTAAAAGGACCCGCTTTGTGCGTGTTTCCATTGCATCCCTAGTTTCCCTCTTCCGTTGACGTTTGCTCCACCTTCATTACTGTCTCCTTTCCTGCTGGGCACTTGGAGGGCTGCTTTGCTCTGTTTTGTTAGCTTCTTAAGATGGAAGCTTCGGCCATTTATTTTAGCTGTTTCTTTTTCTCTGACATAAGCATTTAAAATTATGAATTTCTCTTTATGTTCTGCTTCACTATACCACAAATGTTGATGTGTTGTTTTCGTTATTCAATTTAAAATGTTTTCTAGAAAATGGTTTCATGGCTCCTTGAAGAGTTATAGATTAGAATTACCCAGCAATTCTATTCCTATGTGTAGACCCAAAGGTGCCAAAAGCAAATGCTATTTGCTTTAAGTATTCAAACAAATTTTATACACAAATGTTTATAGCAGCAACCCAGAAGTGGGAAATCTGTACAATGGAATATTATTCAGTCATAAAGAGGCATGAAGTACTTACAAATGCTATATGCTAAGTCAAAGAACACAGACACAAATGGCTAAATATTATATAATTTCGCTTATATGAAATACGCAAAATAGATTGATGCATAAAGGCAGAAAAAAGATTAGTGATTGAAGGAAGGAGGCCTGAGGAATGAAATGATTCCTTAATGGACATGAAGTCTCCTTCAGGAACGATGAAATGCTTGGGATCTAGATATAGACTGGATGCATAAGATTGTGAATGTATACATGTCACTGAATTGTACACTTTTAAATGGTTCATTATATGTTAATGTTACCTCCATAAAAAAGGGGGGTAATTTTTTTCTAGTTTCCATACTGATTTCTTCTATGACCCATGGATTTCTTAGAAGTGTGTAAAACTGCGCTGTGGGGTTTCCAACGCTGTAATCTTCTTGGAAGCAGATTGCTCCATATTTCCTCTGTCAATTGGCTGATAGGTCCCAACCAATCTTTCAGTGGCCAAGCACTGAACCCTGTGTGACTAGGGTTCCTTCCAACGTTCCTCAATCAAAAACCAACTCTACTGCCATATGGCAACCTTATATAGGATTCCCGGGCTTTATAAATCTTTGTGGGAGCAAATGGCTTTGCCTTTCTCCCTGAGAGCCACTGGTGGTTAGCCACTAGCAGTTCCCCTCAGGTCTCCTTCGTTTTCCCTCTAAAACACTCACTGCCACCAAGTCGATTCCAACTCACAGCAGCCAGGGCTCCTCATCCATTTTCCCCACACTCCCTAAATTACATCCAGTAGCAAAACCTTTTTTGGAAGAAAGTAGAGAAGTTATCTCAGAAAACGACTTCAGTGTGTGTCCTTTCCTTTCCATTTCGTTGGGAGCCTGCCGTACTGCCCGCTCCTTCGCTCTGCTGACACGCCCACATGGACAGAAACGGCGTCTCACCTGACAGTTAATGCAGACCCCTCCGCCGGCACGGACGCCCCGAGTGTTCATGCTGGCCTGCTGGCGCTCAGCACTGGCATCGTAGTAGCAATCGGTGGCATGGCCGTGGCAGTTGCATGCTGGGGGAAACACACACACGAAGTCAATAATCACCACGAATGTGAGGTCCTTCGTAATCTCGCTCGGATAGTATCATGAGTCAGGGAGCAGTCAAGTCCAAAACACCAGGATCACACGGAGTAGCAAATGTCTTCAAACGCTATGACTCTATGACCCACCTATGATCATCTGCAATAGACATATCATCTATTTTTGCTATCTATCCTTTCATTCGATATTAGGTGGAATGTATATCTGTTTTGAAACACAGAAGATATGTCATTACAACAAAGCAAGACAAAGCAAAGTACAATTAATCTTTATGCACAAAGAGAATATTACTACCACAGGCGCTCCTTGGGAGAGAGCTGAGGGTGCTGCTTTCAGAAAGGTTTACCATCTTGGACACCCTAAGGAGCAGGTCGACTCTGTCCTACTGGGTTGCTATGCACTGGAATGGACTCAGTGGCAGTGGGTTTTGGTTTGTTCGTTCTGTTTTGTTTCGGTAGTACTACTCTAACAAAAGTAATCCAGCCCTTTGTAGTCTGGGACAAGTGTTTTATCTCATTAACTCTCTAATTCACTCTGCTCGCTGACTCCTATGGCCCAGAGAGAGATGCTTAGCCCTGGAGCGGCTACAGCATGTGCTGACAGTTACATCGGTTTAAGTAAGAGCAACAGAAGCCTGTCTTTGCTTGTCTTAAGATGCTGTACCTCAGTCAGGAAGCTTTTCAGCTGAGTACTGTTTACAATAGTAATCAACTGTAATTAATTCTAATGTTTTATTATATGGAGATAGCTAAGCATGGATAAACAGCTACATTTTTACTGGACCATTCTAGGAAGACAGGCTGGCATGTTTTTTGTTCATAATAGAGCACAGTCCTTGGCACATTTGCTATTGGGTGCTGTCCAGTTGACACACAGTGGGGTTGTCAACACACTTGGTGGGATTGACTTAAGTCCACTGAATGATGGTACTATACGCCGTAAAAATGGCGTCAACTAAGAAACACCTATTGGGGTCTTCCCTCCTGGAGCGTAAGAGATGAAGAAAAAGGAAAAGCCGCCTCTAACGTGAGATTAGAAGAACCAGCTGGAGCCGGTGGCCACTACCAAATACTCTGTGCCAAGGGCACAATGGAAGGTGCCAGTTAGGATGGGTTAGAAACATGTAGAACCAAATGCAAATAAGAAAAAAATCACACTTGCTGGTCTAAAGGAGACCAGGAGACCAAAGAAATGACTGAGAAAACCTTCTAACTTGAAAATAAAGTCATTCCTGGAGGCCACCTTCATCACTAGCCAACGAGCAGCACGTGCTTCTCAGAACAGTCAACAACACGTGACCCGCAGGGAACATGGGCTGTGAACCTGAGACTGGGAGGAGCGGGGAGACTGGGTGAGTGGCACCAGGGAAGCCAGGGAAAAACCAGGGACAGTGTTGACACAGGTTATGGAACAATGTGGATATGAACTGTTGATGGAGAAAGCTAATTTGCTATGGAAATTTTCATGTAAAGCACAACAAAATGTTGGGAGTCTTCTGTGTTATAGAAAAATCTGAAAAGCCCAGTGGAAAAGGTCAAGATTTAATTTATATTAAAAAATACAATTCTGAGTGAGTAATCCTGAGATCATAGGGAAAAAACACACTAACATATCTAACAAGGTATTAAGAGTGGCTCTCTTTTAGGTAGTGAAATTATTGGTAATTTTTCTTTTCTTATTTTGTATAACGTCCAAGTTACCTACAAGTCATATATAAACCCACTCTCTCTGCCATCGAGTTAGTACTGATGTACAGCGGCCCCCGGAGTGTCTCTGAGACCGTAACTGCTCACGGGAGTAGAAAGCTCAGTGTCTCTGAGACC